TTTTTGAAAATTTGTTTTGTTCATGTGGACTTCATTTTTGTTCATTGAGTTTTCCTAGAATAGAACACACTCATACAGCACTACAGTTTTTAAAAATGTATTTAAGCTTTCTATGTACTAATGGAAATGTTCTCCAAAACAGCAAAGTATGGATCAGGATATATTATGTGCTATCATTTCTACTATGAAGGTTTATATATGCATAGAACATCCCTGGAAAGACACAAAAGGAATTGGTAATAGCATCTGTCTCCAGGAAAGGAAATAAGGTAACTGAAAGACAAGAAAAGTCAGAGAGGGCTAGGGTCCTGGTTCAGTGGTAGAGCGCTTGTCTGGCATGCATGAAGCACTGGGTTCATTCCCTGGCACCACATAAAAATAAACAAAATAAAGGTATTGTATCCATCTACAACTAAAAAAATAAAAAGCTGGAGACATTGTATTCACCTTCCATCCTTTTATATTTTTTGGCTTTTGTAAAGCACATATTATTTAGTCAAAAAATAAACTATTGAGCTACACATGACAGTGCACTCCTGTAATCCCAGCGACTCAGGAGGCTGAGACAGAAGGATCACAAGTTCAAAGCCAGCCTCAGCAATTTAGTGAGGTCCTAAGCAATTTAGTGAGACCCTGTCTCAAAATAAAAAACAAAAAGGGCTGGGGATGTAGCTCAGGGGTTAAGCACTCCTGGGTTCAATCCCCAGTACCAAAAAGTAAAATATTTCCAAGCATGGTGATACACATCTGCAAACCTAGCTACTCCACAGGCTGAGGCAGGAGGATGATAAGTTAGAGTCCACCCTTGACAACTTAGCAGACCTGTCTCAATAAATAAAAAAGTCTGGGGATGTAGCTTTGTGGTAGAGCACCCCTGGGTTCAATTCTCAATACCATTAAATAAATAGCTAAGATAGAAATAAGTAAAATATTTTTAAACACAATGTAAAAAAAAATAAAGCATTGCTATTTCAGTACAATTATGTAGTCACTGAAACAACAATGAAGTTAAGTAACAAATGCTAATGTTAGGAAATATTGACAGGATCAGAAAATGTATTGTCTGATTCTAGGATGGTGCTTTCCTCCAAAGTTTTTCCTTTAAGCCTAGACTAGTATTTTAAGTTAGTTGACCTGATTTTTTCTTGTTTTATTTCTTGCAGTGGTGGGGATTGAACCCAGGAAGTTACACACACTAGGCTAACACTCTACCACTGAGCTACACCCCCAGCTGACCTTGTTCTTTTTAAAGACTTACCTTGAGATAGAGTTTTTATATATGACTTTGTCAGACAGGGATCTCTGCTCTGATTTCAGAGTCTACTGGATCAGTTCTTCAAGATTGCCTTTTCTTTTCTTAAAATTGAAGCTTCTGAAACATGAATACTTACAATTGTTATTAAAAATATAAGCACAAAATTCATATAAGGCACACAAGAGTATATTCACACAAGAGTATACTTAGGCAGTAAAAATATTCCACCTCAATCGTCAGAGAAATCTGAATGAAAACAGAGAAAATCCTTATTGAATTAGCAATTTGTTCAAAGGTAAACCCCAGTAGAGAAGAGGGTCTGGTGAAACATGTATCTATATACATCACTGGCTCAAATATTAACCAACCCAGCCCTTTTGTGAAGCATTGTGTCAATTCACATAACCATTAGAAATATTAATGTATTAGTCTGGTGTGATAGCACAAGTCTGTAATCT